ACGAGCAGTAACAAGTTGAAGGCTTGCTTGCTGGCTCGCTGTGGCGAAACACGGAAAACTATTCATGAAGCGCTTTGGCACTAGCAGCGGCAAGAAGGACAGGCTGACGTGTCCTGAAAGAGGATGCTGAGATCATGCGGAACGGGCAAAGTTGTGGGCTTGCTTGAAGGAAATGGGCCTAGCACGTTGTGACACACTGGACACTGCCAATTTGTCAGTGTTTGCTTTACAGCTGGATCCCCAGTGGACCCAGCGGACTTCCGATCCCAATTTTCTCCGACCTACCGGAGATGTTTCCTGACAAAGTTGCGACCCACTTTGTCAGTTTTGAGCAGTGTCTGCAGAGGCATGTCCACGCGTGGAACTTCGGGTCACGAGCAGCTGCGTGTTTATTGCTCCAGCCAATCCTTGCATTTTTGATTTTAGCGCCGAGTCTGAACGCCGCTCCTCCCACCACAATTTCCCGCGGGGGCAAGGACTAGTAATCTGCCATTGAGGTCAACTATTTCGATACTACAGCTCCCCTGGCCAACGGCCACGCGGAACTAAAGTATGCCCTGCACAAATGACCTTCGTAGACTTGGAAGTCGTACAAGATGCAAATTCAACAAGTTACATATCTGCCCGGCGGTGAGCCCCAAAAACAGAACCTAGCGTAGCCCAGTTTTGGAAGAGGCTCAATCTTGATTCCAGCCACACCCCCCGCCCGCTGAAGGTCGTTATAAAGTTTGGTTCAAAAGAATGTACGTCTTTTGGCCTCTATGCGGCATGGTTTCATGAGAAGAACCGAGCGTCTCGAAGACCTTTTTCCTTCTTGCTTCAGTTGGTCCAGTTGGTCTTTGCGCTGGCCCGGCGGTACCATGTGGTACCTGAGGCCTTTTGGTAAGAGACTGAGAGACACTGCCAAGAGACAATTACAAAAGACACTGGTCAGACACCGTCAACATACTAATGCTTCAGCGCGAACATTTCCTAATCTTGCATGGTTTCATGGCCCCGGCCCGGAGGGCTCGAGATGGCCTGTAGCCAATCTCAGAACCCCAGTGGGGAAAATCCCACGTCCGCCATGAGCCGCCATGGCTTGGGTGTTATAGTTGCCAGCGGTTGACTTCTCACAGCTTGACGGGACATGTATATGGGTGCGCCAGCTTTCCAAGCCGGGCGTGTGGTCTTGTGTGGTTCAAGGATGGCCTCCACCAGACGAAGATCTCGGGCTGTGCAACTTAGAGCCACGGATTCGTGGAGATATGCGGTGGTGCTTTGATAGCTTTCTGCAGAAGTCTTTGACGAAAGTATGAGCTTCGCCTGTGTGCCGTGATAGCTTTCACCATGTGGCGTGGTGGTTTGGGGCCATTAATTTTTGGTGAATGCAGTGCAAGCGAGGACCCGATTGAATTTGTCCTTTGATTTGTCGTGAGAGTAGGTAGCTGCATCGATTGACAGCTGGATCAGACTGTATAGTAGACAGACATTTGTTTCCCACGTCCTTTTATGTTTTGTTATCCCGCGTCCGAGAAGTGGGGTAAAGTCGCCCTCCTGTCAAGAACCTGAAGCATTTTGTAGGGCTCCTTTGCGATAATCAGGCACCCTCGAAATTGCAAAAGGCTTGTGCAGTGTCACCTGTGCAGTTGCAAGAATTCGTTATTAAGTGCACGTGCAGTCACAGGCACTGCCGTCGGCTATCGCAAAAGGAAAGGCCCCGGCCCGGCCTGGGCAAAAACCGTGCATCAATGCTCAGCAAAACTCTGACCCAAAACGCTTCCAACACTAGAATAAACATTAGCGAATCTTAGCGCCCAAAACCCTCATGAACATCGTCAAAAACGCAAAGCAAAGCCCCCAACAAAGGCTGCTGTACAACCTTGTTCCTCATCCAATGTCAATACTGGCCCACCGCACCCTTCCACCCGTTTACATGAAACAACATCGTTTTGGCGTATTAGATGAGAGTGCATGTGCAAAAAAGGGTTCCCCAAAATGTCCGAAGTGCAGTGGAACTTCGATAAATGTGCAAAAGAGGCGAAGATGACCCATGTTGAACAAATCGGCCAAATACATTCTCCAAATCACAGCTATCTGCTGTGCGGGGCTGCGTGTTAGGTCTTCACTCATTTTGTAGCACGTCGAATTGCGCAAACGACGATCACGATGAACTGTTCAACAATATGCACGCTTACGAACACGATTTTCCCGAGCAGGCAACAAACAATGGTTCAGCGTACAGCATGTCACGAAAGCTAGCACGCTAGCTGAGTTCTTCTTTGCTTTAGCAAT